CAACCACAGGACTTAAGCCGTTTAGACAGAGCGAGCACCCGAAGTAAAGCGTGAATTATGATGTTCTGCTGTAGTCACGTACAATGCGCGACGCATTGACGCGCTGAAGTGCGTGCGAACGCTGCGACGCTCATCCATTTTTGGATTGCTGCCCAGCGGGGGTAGCCTCATTGTGAGCATAACCTATAGGATTGTCATTGCGGAAATCGCGTCGATGCGACGCGCATTGTACGTGACTACGGGCAGGAACATCGTAATTTACGCTTACTTCGGGTGCTCACTCTGTCTAAACGGCTTATCTCCAACCACGCATGCGCGGTCTCTGCGCGCTCTCGCGTACGACGTACTATCTCGCGTTCTCCCTCTCCTCGCAGCGCTGTGTCTCTCCGTCGTACTACGGCCGGCCTCCTAAGGGAAATTTAGTGTTTTCTATGGTGCTTTTTGCTTTTTCTCCTCACTAATGTTCCTCATTGCACCTCTTGCCTAATTTTCAAACGAAATAACGCATCAATTTAATCCCGACTCGTGCCGCAGACACTATTTTTCTTTTTCATAATTCCCAGTTTTGTTTGTTCTACATACACAAGAGGATGGTATCGACCATTTTCTACTCTTCACTGTCTATTTAAAAATATACTAAAATATCAATATAAATAAAAAGTGCTGTTCCGAATTAGAATAAAGGATTCATAGCCTAGTACCTACTTTATTGAATTTAGCATGCCCTGAAAATGTAGTCTACTTTATTTCGTGAAGCAACACCAGCTGAAAATATAACATTTCTGAAAACTTTCAGATACCTCCTCTTTCAGAAGTATAAAAGCACCGGGGGCAAAAGACTACACTAGCAAAAATTTCCCCGTGCTGTCAACTCATTTGCTATTCCGTGTTCGTGTTTAGTAACAACACACTGCATGCTCAATATGCATGGGCGATTTGAGATTTGTACAGAAGAACAGGTTTCAGATTGTACCACGACGTTTCTGTAGCACACACACACCCTGAAGTACTCCAGCACACTTCTTTGACTGCTCCCCACGTGAATCTGCCTCACAATGATTTCCCGTTTTCTGAAGGATTTAGATCCGAATTGTACGTGGATCGAATCGTAACACGACTTCGCCGTCGCAAAGCACTGTTTCGCGGACCAGCTGCAGTGTATGGTGGCGTTCAAAAATCAAGACGAAGTTCTCCGACCGATCTCATTGTAGGAGCCACAGTAATTGATCAGCACGATCATCCTCCAAAGTCGCTGAGATCCGTTTCACCCGATACAAGAGCCAGATCACGGAATTGTTCTACTGACAACTTTTGCCATATGGAGAAGCTGCGAAAAGCGAACCAGCTTTTGCCAGCAAACACATTTTTTGAATCTTGTATGAGATATGATGCACTCGGCTTGCCATATATTTCCTGTAGTTTCTGATAAGTGGTTATTCGCATGAATCAAAGGATTTCCCAGAAATTTTCTATAAAAACGTGGCCAGGATAGACAACCAGGCTATCTATCAAGAGTCTGGGCTTTGAGAGAGCTGCCACTCCTCCGTTGAGTAACCTATAACACACGGCTATAAAAATGGTTCTGTATGAATCGTAGCCAAACAATGACGTCGGCCTAAGTAATGGATCGAATGTTATTGCAAAGCTTCACGATAACCCTTGGAGTCTACTACCGTTATACAAGCCGGAAAAACGTTTTGGCGCCAGGTCATTACGGAAAACACTCGCACCTCCGCTGGAACTGCGAGCGCTGAAGTAAATTGGCCACCTTTGCAAGTCATGCCGGAAGTGTTTATACATACTATTAAAGACTATCTAAAATAGCCTCCTTATCCGAATAATACCAACCTTAATGATTCATGCAGATATATGGTGTAATTGTGACCTAAATTCTATCCAAAAATTTGCTCGATATCTTTCTAAGTCTAATTTTCGTGCCTCCATGTGATGTCCCGTTGTTGCTTCCCTTATAGTGCCGCCGATTGTTTACGCAACTCTCCAGTTCGTGGTATTCGACACAGATGCATGCACTGATCAAATTCGAATGCTTTACAAATAGTTCTACCAGATTAGGCCCCCTTCAGCCGCCGGGACCTTCATTCACTGCGTAATCTTTTCGCCTTCCACTGTGAAAAGATTTCCTCCACCTCCTCCATTCCCTCCTCTCCTCTTTCCACTGCTCTATCGCCATTGTAGCACCATGTGAATAAGCAAGAGTGTGCTAAGTATGAGCCTATACACATGACCGCTGTTCTGTTATCACAACCATGCCATTGATACGGCAAGCGAGGTACCCAGATTTGTTAGCGGCTTGTTTGTTCCATTGTGCGCCTTATCACTCACTTCATTTTGCGGACGGACCTCGATGGGTGTGGGTACTTAGGACAGAACGCGACTTTTTCGCTCTTCGCAACGCGACATCGCGCGGCAGGCTGGCGCACCCGCAGCGAAAACAACTACGGTATGGAAGAACGCGCGATTGGAGCAGCTTTTTTGCATGCGTGAATTTGTAAGTTTCTGATTCCTTACTTGCCCGCGCTCACACCCATTGTATTGATAAATGCGGTGAATCACTAATTCTGTCTCATTATTGAAAACGTTTTGTGACTTACACGATTCCGGGCGATGCCACACAAATGGTGTTTTACGAATTATCGGTGAACGAGGGTTTAATAGTGTCGCTTGTGCTTGCATTTTGTGGGTTCATATTGTTGTATAGACATCTGCATAAGGGTATAACATCTTTTACGGAACGCTTCTGTCCTCATTACGGATATGATACTCATTTTTGACGCTGGCGCCATTTGGGGCCGGGTGGCGCCACAACTGATTCCCACTAAATTCGCTGTAAACTTCTGTATAGGGGTTATTCGGGGTCCTGATTTGTTGTTAGCGCTATTCGGCGCCTGCTTCCTAAGACTCGCCGAGGCGTTTATCAATCGAATCGCTCAACTCGCGCTCACAATACTAGGAACGCTCCACGACCAAAAAAGGTCCATGTTTCGATGCTTAATAGCCTGCTCCTTTGTTCAAATCAAATCTGAGTGCTACGGTGAGGCTTCTAGTTGGGTCTGTCATACGTAATTTTCAGAGTAAATCTGTGAAGGGTTCGAAGAATACAGCGAAAACGAAGGCTTCTGCTAGTGCGCAACGAGTTACAACTGAATCGTCTTCTTCGAATTCGCAACTGTGTAAAGCAGAGGAGACACCACACAGTAGTGGTGAGGTTGACTATTAGTATTCTATGGAGATCTGTCTTGAAATGATTTAAACGCCCAGATTGTCCAATTTTTCAGACGATCAAAAGCCTGGAAGGATTCGTACAGCGTCACCTAATCAACCTGACATATCTGTGCTGAAAATCATTTCGCCCAAAAGGAATAGCAAGCAACCGCGTAAACTTCAAGCGGTAAATAGTGAAGCGGGTCGCAAGCGTGGAACACCTGGATCAGGCTCTGGTAAACTTGTTTGTGTGTCTCTGATTTATTAATAGGACCAAATAGATTCCACGGCACTATAGATTGTTGCAATCCCAGAGCCCAAAATAGTCCTCACTAAGGCCCCCTCACTTTTAGATCATCGTTTCTGAAATTGAGGGGGTGACTCTTCTTATATTTAAGCGCTTATATCGTTGGACATTCAAATAAGTGAGCCATTCATAGTATTTGAAACTAAGACTTAAGGCGCTTTAATAGTCGGTCATGCGATCGTAACGATCTAACACCTCTATATGCTATCGATCGATCAGAAGTTTCAAGGGATTGAAGAAATCGGATGTACATAAGGGGTGGTAATGTACTTCTCTCAATAAATTAGGGACGTAATTGTACTTGTACTAAACCTAATACCTCATTATAACCCATGCGTGCTTGGTAATTTCGCGCTGCATTGGCCTGTGCTTTCCTTACTCATTATATTCTCTGCTTGATTATTTCCGATGCTCCTTGGAAGCTCCTATGTATTTTATCGTTTCTTTTATTTGCATTTTACACATAATTCACCATACTTGTATTCATCCACCGATGCACATTTACTGTATCGCGGGATACACGGGTAACCTTTAGGACTAAACTTAGGAGCGGGTAGGAGCGAGCGGTCTGTGTATACCTCCGATCCTTATCTCTTTCCTTCGGCGGCTGACGGACTACTTCAACTTAGTCCTTCAACTCGCCTCAAGCGGATACTCTCGTATGCGCTCTCTAGCTTGATTGAACTCTCTACTGACGGTTGGAAGGTCATCATGTCGGTCCGGCCATTTGCAATGTGCCGTGTATCATTGGACTCCCCTCGAGATGCTGAGCTCAAAACTGCTCTTCCACTTTCTTTGTTCTTAACACGAGTTATTGTAACATGGAGTTAAAGACGTGAAGAGGCAGAAGTAATGGTGCTTACCGACTTGCAAGGTTGGAATGAATGGTTTTTCTGAGCAACTTCTTTTTGTTCCATTGACGGAGTGCACGGAAGCTTTTGACTTCGTCAGTTTATAACCACTTGACAGTTGTTTCTGTGAAGAGTTTGTGAGCAGTTACTTGCAGGTTTGGACAGTGTCCGGCACTTGACCATGTATGCCAATGGTGCTCGTAGTGCACGTGTCAGGCTTTTTCGCGGCAAACAGACATGATATTCGCGTTTAGAGGATCAAACTACCTCTAGCGACAAGTTACCTACAGAATCTGAGATTTTGACCCAACCTATTAAAATTTGTTAGAGTCGGGCTGAGCATCAATCTCATCGACCTATCAATACCATCAATTTATTCGTTGAACCCTTGGGATAGAAATTGCCCCTTCTGCCAAGATTCCAAAAAAAAAAACGTTCAACTGACTTACCTTTCCCCGAATAATGGGAATAATTTATGGCTCCACATCCTAATTCGGACTGGTGCTTGTACTGTTCGTTTTCGATTCATCCCCTTCGTACGCTTGGCTGACTTCGGTGACTGCCCTCTCTCAAAGATGGGTCAAATCTTAAACTTGGCTGGAAGTCTTGTTTTCAAGGGTAGTTTAACCCCATGAACACGAATATCATACACATTTTGCGCGAAAATGCCTGACTAGGACTCGCGAACCCTCAACACAGGCAGAAAGGCAGGCATTGATAAAATAATGTCGCCAAAAGCCTTTTTAGTCATGTTGTCGAAAAAGTAAAGACACCCACACCGCTAGTCCGATCCCGTGACCTCGCCCACGAGAGCGATTGCATTCCCACCTACACCATGCTGCTATTGTGATTTACCTTCTCGCTCGGTTCATAACGGTGGTTCCATGCGATAGCAATCGAACATAGCGTTTGAACATAGTGTCGTCTGTGAAATTAATTGAATTTGCCTCAGGTGCAAGGAAAGAGTCGTTTCATCGACACGCAGTTTATTCAATAGGATAGTCTTTGGAAGGTATAGTTGGTGCTGCTCAATTGCTCAACCAGGAGAGTTGCTTCTGTACGTGTTATTTGTTGGTGAAATGTTTCACAACTTATCTTTATTGGCAATATCAGGTCCATTCAAGATTCAACCGCATCCCAAGTTTTTAGATGGACTGCCCAATTTTAGAACCTCGTTCGTTACGTGGCCGTGTTCCCTAGATAAACCACATGTAAATTATGCATAAAACGTACATAGTAAGGTTTAGATGTTAATTCTCGTAGTGATGTAAAAGGGAGGATGCTGCATGGTCCCGCAACGAACTACGCAAAAACAATTAACTAAAAACGAACAACAGACGTGCAAAAGATTCTAACTCGAAATTGATACATAGTAGTGAAGTGTAGGTTGTCTGCACCGTAGAACCCTGAAATGAACTTCTAATGTGTGCATTGTGTGCTGCAGTCATTGTGGAGATGTCATTGAATTCAGAGCCTCCGGAATGAACCCCGATCCCTTCCGAGCTCGCCTTATTGAATTGATACAGCATGAACCTAGCATATGGGATGTCACTTCTGAGCAGTACCATCTCAATGAGTGGAAAAAAAATGCGTGGTCGAGAGTACAGCGTGGAATGGAAGCCAGCGGCTATATGAGTTCACGTACGTCGCAAAACAGTGGACAACATCATCTAGGAACGTTTGATGTGGGAATTTCTTAGTAGTGGAACTTTGCAGTCGGAGAACTCAGAACCGTATGGAAGAATCCCAAGGACTATGCGCAAGGAAAAGAAAAATGATGACCACGGGTTCTGCAGCGCAAAAGGAATGGCTATTCAGCGAGATGATGGCTTTTTTGGACAAGATTGACTTTGAAGGGTTGCTTCAGTGTAGTGCTTGTGAAGCATTCGTAGCGACTTCATTGCAGCAGAACAGTCTCGAATCTGGACATGAATGGGAACTTCACCTACTGTGAGAAGTCAGGTGGAAATGGGCTGGGATATTCCCCGAAGAGGAAGCAAAAGAAAGATGGTATGCTTTTGCTACGTCGGGGATGTTTTGCAAACAGGAAAAACAAATCGTTATTTCAGTCGCTTTGGATATGATACGTGAGACGACAGAAGCCGTAAAACATCTATGCAAGAAGCCCAAAAATCAGCCACTGGCAGAGGAGCCATTCCCGCCCTTCCATGGAAGTGAGGCACCCACGGAAACCAACCCAAAGATGGACACATGCATGAGCTTTGGTAAATGATGTTATCTCCTTTTTGCGTTTGAAAAAACAAACGTTATTTCTAGGATGGTGGGTTGGCATGAAGTTGAAAGAAATGGATAAGCCGCAGGCTGACCTTAAAATGCACCTGTTGTCGACTGTACTGCTGACAAACGCAAATGTCGTGCTCGACATAGAAGCAGTGCATTCAGTTTCGGGTTAGTGGTGACTTCTTCAAATTCAATGAAATTATACAATATATTGTGAATCTATCTCACCGGCTGCAGCTGAATAATTAATGGTCATTAAAGAGAGCCATATATGTTGTCGAAATAGGTCCTCATGCTCTCTCTCGCCATCAGCGCTGCTTCATCATCTTCCCTATTGTCCAATTCTTGCAGTGGATCCAGTTCATGGGTAGGGGTGCGAAGCGCACAACTCCTTCAAGTGAATTTTCTCTTCTTCCCAAAACGTTGTGCAATACCTGATGTTGTGAATTCTTGAAATTCACAGCACTAGCAGTCCAAAGAGTTGTAAGCTCACCAGCAACGCATTCACCACATCAATTGCATTGTCTGGATCCAACTGTATTTTACTCAGGAGGATTGGATAATGTTGGCATAGAATGCCAAAAAATGATTCCACAGTATGTCGCGCACTGATATTGAAACAGCCCTACATGTTTCTCATTGTCTATGGGAAAGCGATTCTCACCTGCTATGCATCCGGTTGAACCGATGTTTACTAGCCGTATCCGCAGTTGCTTGCGAATACGGTCTAATATAGCGGTACCCCTGAGCAAACCCGCAGTCCACCAAAATGTGGTACTGCACGGGTCCAACATTTCCCAGCGCTCGGGCAGGAGGGAAAATGTTGTCATTCATATCGAAGAAGTGCTGAATTAGTAAGACAAATAACGGTTATTTACCGTCAGCATCTAGCCAACCTTAATGCTGGAGTTCATGAAAACTCCCGCATCCCCCATTCTCCCTGGTGCTCCCAAGGGTGAACAAGAGGATGCGGTAGTCACAATCCACTAACGCGAGGAGTATGATCGAGTAGGTCCGTTTGTAATTGAAATACATACTGCCTGAATTGGCCGGCTTCTGCAATATGTGCTTTCATCTGCATTAAGTCGCTTACTGGTGCAATACTACTACATTTACTACTACTACATTACTACATTTCTCACCTTAATTTGGATATGCTTTCCATCCATGAATCCAACTGCGCGCGGGTACCCAAATCGCTGCTGCGTTTTTATGGCTGTGTTTTCCAGATGCTCCCTTGTGATCCTCGGAAATGCTTCTTCAAAGAAAACTGAACGAAAATGCATGAGAACGGCCTCAGTTTTTGCTTGCAGTTCTGGAGCCTCACCATCCTTTATTGCCCTCGCCACTTCATAAACAACTTGGCTTATTGTGGACTTGCCACACATAACTTCTTCGCCTAGGGTACCGTAAGCGAATCCGTGACCCACAAACCTTAATCTGTAGACGTCAAACAAGCAAGCAGTCCGTTCCCTGGTTTTCTTACCTCAGGAAAATGAAAAGGCGGTGGCGCCCGCTTATAGGTGAGGCGTGGGTCATCGAATGGAGCAGAGTGGGTGCCAGACGTTCATACAAACGCTCATACTCCGGTAAGGTAACTCTTGCATAGTGCGCGAAATTTCGAGATTATTCACAGCCATATATTGGTCAAACGTTCGGAATCGCATGTCAGATATGGTCTGTGCTCCGCGCGCACATATTCCCTACGTTGGCTTGCTTCTCGATAGCGCATTAGCGCGTTCTCTACCTCCTCCAAGGCCGCCAACACTGCCATTGCTCGACGCTCGTCCATACTTGAACTGCAATTTCAAGCCTCCTTTATTAATCATAATGTTGTCTTTATTAAGGTAACTCAGACGTGTCCATGTAAATCCGTCCACTCCGTTCCTCCATTTCGATGAAGCATAACCTGTTTTTTGCTATTAGAGGTAGTGTTCGATTTGAATCCTTTGCTTCCCCGCATCACTATTACTCTCGGCTTAGGCGGAATGTGGCTCAGGGGGCAGGTCATAACATCACATCAGATCCATGGAAACACTCCATTTCGCCTTGAAGGGAAAGAGGAATCTGAGTTGCGTAAGGAATTTTTGTTCCTTCCGCGAATTGGTTTCTCTTCTTTCGAATTTTGTCCTAGTAGTCTTCCGATAGACGGGTCGTTCGGAGGCTTATTGCGCCTAAGCTTATATAATATACGTTCAAGTCATTACTACTTCGTTTTAGATTCGCTGTGTTTGTCACCCTGTTATGGAATGGCGCACAGTACCAAAAACATAGTAAGTTCTTGGCGTTCTAGAGTTGCAATTTAGAGTTGTTGCAAAGATGGAGCATTAACTGTTATAGGTTTCATCTACACAGAACTTCTAGAAAAATACGAAAATACTAAAACTTGCACTTGTGGTTATACTTTACACATGGAACAAAACAATTTCCCTCTCTTAATGCTGATAAATATGTTCAGGGTGTCGTTACAACACGAAACATGCGTCCCTGTCCTAAATGATTTTCTTGTTCTTCAATAAGTTGATTTGTGAAACAACTTCATCATGTTGTGTCCTCTACATCATTTTCGTATATGCCTGGAAGCACTCTAGGAGCCTAATATTTCATTGAATGCAGATCGTTGATTTCTTTTCGCAATACCCCGGTCATTAATTTTTTTTGTTGTGGTTCTTCTCTTGGAATCTGATTTTTCATTCGATTCGGGTTGTTGATTTGCTTGGCCTCTGCCGTAGTCATTATTTTGATTGTTTTCACTTATGCAGAATTACATCGCTCTGTTCATGTTAGAACAGGTAATGAAGCTAACGTTTCATTGATGTGGACCACGTGTATTATTAAAGATTTCAAGTGTACTCATGTTTATATGCATGCTCATGCTCCCTCGTTAATGCGATCCATATCTTATTAAACTCAACTATTTTCATGCTCGAGCAGAAGATTAACACTAGTACAGCGCGCCTCTCAAAAATGCGCTGAACAATTTCTATAATTAATATTTAAAAGAATTTCCAGGTAAAACAACGCGGATTGAGAAGATTATCGAAAATAGAATACTTTAACGGCGAGTTCGCTCTCGCAAGTTACGCTATGGGCGGAGTCAAGTCAATCAATATGCACGCACATCATTTGATAGAATCGCTCGGTCGCATCATCGCATCTTCGCATCTTCGCAAGTTCTCAAAGTATGAACAGGCCCTTAGAGGATTTAATTGATGTTAGATGATGGCTTCCAGCACAGATTTCATATGAAACTACTGTTACTGGCGAATTAGACATTACTACATTATTGTATTACTACATACGTGAAGGCCGGAACAATTATAACAATAGAATTTAAACTAATTATTACAGGTATCTTATTACAATTTTCAGAGAATTATTAGTCACAACGCGAATCACCCGACAACTAAATCTTCGGAAAAGTCTATATTTTTGAAAGTCAATAGTAAAGTTCGATAAATCGATGTCACTGATCAGACCTATATGATTACGCTCAAAGAAAGTGTCTTGGGACAATATCTCAGTGCCTGAAAAGATCTTTGTTGCCATGAAGACTGGCGATCATCACCTCAGACTTGAAAATGGGATCAGTGAAAAAGGAGTGGCCGAGCTTATTTCTGTGCGTATCGTGCTCTACTACTATCACTTTGTCACTACCAGAACTACTAATGCTATGAGGTGGAATGAGTAGCTCGATCTAACACCTAAAGGCATTGAACTGTGACGGACTGTAGAAGATTGCCGGTGTACGAGCCGCTTGTCCATCTGGTAAAACGATCACATGTGAGAACACCAGTGATCGTAGTTCGACCGATTCTGTAATTAGCATGCTCCTATCTGAATTTTGACAAGGTGAAATCAATCCGAAATTCACCTATATCCTTGTGGACAACCGCTTAACGTGTATTGTTTACACCAAGTTGTCGGATTGTATTCAAGTTGTACAGTAACTCCAGTACCAGCATTCACATTACCACAAAACAGGCAAGCTAAACAGATACAGTAGTGCTGTAGTGTAAAGACTGAAGGCAGTCAGACTTCGGAGATTCAGCGAAACGCTAGATAGAATTGCGGGATATGAACGATGAGCCAGCGGTTGGAGCGATGCCTTCGAAGGGCATGAAAGCATTTGAAAAAGCGCCAGCGATTTTTGGATTCGCACAGCCTGGCACCTAATCAAGCTGGAAGCGGAAGGGGCATACGGTAAGTGGCAGCGCAATCGAGCGCATTTTAGAGGGATCGAATCCTGAATCATACTTAGCTCCAATAAGAACGACCACCCTTCATGGTTAGGTATTCATACCATGGTGGTATGGGTACAAATACAATCCGCTGCACATGGCTGAAAAGCCTCTATATAGGTCAATCCCACTCAATCGCCAATGCGATCCTATGTGCAAGTCAAGTCAAATAAGTGGCGTCTGCCAAAGTAACCGAAGGACGCTCCCGGTTTTAATGTCAATAGCTTCCAATATCATACTGAAGTAGCACGGAGAGTGGTTGCCCACTTCAAATCCGGGAATATTGTGATATTGTGGGAGCAATCCCATGCGAAGGTGGATGAATCATTTCGCTCTCCAGATTAGTTGCACCCTCAAGTGGTGTCCAACTGAGCAGGGTGAATATCGGTCGAGGAAATCCTCGACAGGGGGGTCGTACCTGTTGGGCTGGTCCATGGGGGGTCGTACTCTTGGGGGTCAGTAACAGAAGTGGTATCATGGTGCAGATAGGTAATAGGGTATAGCGCAGCAGAAAATGAAAACATCCGAAAAAAAACATGATATTAAATTTTCTTTGCAGGTTCAGTCGCTCCATTCCTCCACCTTCATGAGAAGGGCGTATTTGAAGGCAGTACAAAGAATGAAAGTGCATCCCCGCAAAGAAGAGTGCCACATGTGCGCACGCGCTGCAAAGGCACCTCCTCCGCCTATCACTCGCTCCTTCTCCCTTAATACCTCGCTGAGAATGACGCTGTTGTTAGGGACCCTGTCGGAAAAACGACAACCGTGAAGAAAAAGCGCTGGGCAAATGAAGTTGTTTTTTAGGTTACAGGAATAGCACAACACACTATGTCTACTACAATACAGTTTCGTTCGAAGGTCCCCATCATATAACACCTTTCAATCGATTCTGCAACTGTGAGTGGAGGAGGGATGCATGGCTTATACCAATACCAAATCGGATGATGACGATTGCTCCTATTCTTATTGTTTGCGTTCAAAGATATTGTTCTAGACACATTCCGAGTGTTGCCAACGAGTCACACTTGCAATGGTGAATGAGGGAGCGGATTTCCAGGTGGCCGGATCCGACCTCGATAGATCCTCGACGCAATTATCTCTTCAACCAAAAAGCTGTAGAAGAAAACTAAACAGACCATCAGGAAGCGCAAACCTTCCGCTTTCCAAAACTATCTTCCCTTTTTCAGGATCTTACAATATAAGAGATATATTGCTCTTGAAGTGGCAAAAACTCGCGTGAAAATTTCGGCCTCCTCGACATTTACTCGACGAAATTTGACAGACCCTATCTTTCTGCAAGGAAGGCTTCCAGAGCAATTTCGATGCTTGTTGGAAACGCGAAATCCAGCTCTATCTAACTCTACCTCAAGCTGCTTCAAAGGTTGTGAAATGGAGGAATGCAACCTTTTCATCGAGGGTGTAGATTCGGACGTTTTTTTTTGAAATTTCGGCAAATCTGACCCAGTGACAATCGCGCCGCAGCTGCCGTTGAATCGGCCTTTGATACACTCGGCTGTTTTGATATACTCAAGCAAGAATCAAGATTGAATCGCAACCCCGTGTCTTCAGGATTTCTGTGCGTTTCTGAACGAACCTCGCCTTGAGGTCACACAAAGTTAATGCCTCTTTCCTCGAGTCGATATTTCAGTATGTACACAAAAGTATGCAGCGATGGAAGACGTGCATAGATGACAAGATGAAGGCGTCCTTAGCATTATTTTGCAGAATTTTTTTTGATTTGTTTTGCAGGATTTATTTTAATTGAATTAATTTGCTCTGTTAGAGGGGGTCGTGCCAGGATCTCGATTTCGGGGGGGGGGTCGTACCTCTGCGACCACGTACTCGACACGATTTTCACCCTGCCTGAACCTTTTAGGCCCGAAATTTACGAAGTTATCGTCTTCACGCGATCTACTGTACCCGTCCCGCCTAAACCTGGTAGGATGCTCGTTGCAGTCCAACGAGACAATGATGGGGATTTAAACTCTGATTTGACCGTTAGATAGACTTGCAATGTAAACTTTACCGTATTCTGAGTAGCAAGCCTGCTCCTGAACCTCAGTTTCGACACCATTTATTGTTGCCATCCATTTTCCATCAACACAAGTCATTGGTGTGTTTGTAGCAGCCGGTGCCGGCAAAGTAACAACACCGTTGGCAGTAACAAGTCTGCAATTTTCGTAAAAAATAGAGAAATGCAGTTAACGAGATAAGCCGTTTGGACAGAGCGAGCACCCGAAGTAAGGCGTGAATTACGACGTTCCTGCCGCAATCACGTACATTGCGCTCGCAGCGACGCGCTTTCTGCGGTAGCCATTCTGAAGGTCATGCCAACAACGACGCTACCCCTTCGGTCCAGGGCAGCAATCCAAAAATGGTCGAGCGTCGCAGCGTACGCTCCGCCGCGCGGGCGGGGAGCCTGAGCGCTGCGCGCGAGCGTGTGTCCATCCTCCACCTCCTATATGAACGGCGCTCAGTACAGTTGGCGAGTTTGCTCGACGCGTTCTCTCTTCGTTGAGAGCGCAGAGAAAACGAGGGCGAGCACACGTTTCAACGCGTCAATGCGTCGCGCATTGTACGTGACTACAGCAGAACAATATAATTCACGCCTTACTTCGGGTGCTCGCTCTGTCCAAACGGCTTATCTCGCAGTTAACAACACCCACAGCAGGGTCCCTAGTGTTCATGCTAGCGTTTATTCCACATTTACGCAGAAATCCTTTAAATAATCCAAAAGGGAACACTTCGCACCTATACAGATCATTTCGCCGACATTGTGTGTTCAGAACTGAACAGCCATTAGCATCCGCTCCCAGTTGGTTTCCACGTGCTGCTGGTGGACTAGGAGCTTGAGAGATGGGCAGTGGAGGACATGTGCAACCTGAAAAAATGATCTATTTCCAAACCTTTGTTGGATCATAGCAACAATTGCCGGGCGTATGGGCATTTCAGGGATTTTTTGAAGCGCTGCACTTTCTCTGCATTTTTTCGCACCCTTCTTCTACCTAAACATTTTTTGTAGGTCTCCCAGTGAAAAAGGCGTCAGCTGAATGGCGTGCACCAGCTGCAGCTCCGATGACCAGTGCTCTTTCCTCAGTTTGGAGGCTTGAGGGGGAGGGTGGGAGCCTGTAAATGGCATAAAAGTGGCATAAATGGCACTCAGTCCTATTATGATTAAGTCCCACTGTGTCTACTTTGGCTCTATAGAAGAAAGGATAGCGGTCAGTGGACCAGATGGCATGGGCGCTCTAAGGAAGAGATAGAACTCTGCGAAAGCAGTGCGGATGATGTGTTGGGAAGGTATGAGGTGAAGCGCCTTACCTGTTTCGCATTGAGCTTTTGTATAGACGGTTTCCTGTGGGTCGACCCACTCAGCTAAGCCGTTACAGGACAACGACGGGACAGTAGTCCGTCCATCTCCTGCAGTCATGTGACCGCTTTCACAAGATGCTGCTGGACATTGTCCTGAAATCCATCAAATACAAAGCGAAATCAGGCCTGAATAAAATCTTGACCACTGCTGACGCACCATCGGTGTTGATCGTCACAGGAGTGCAGACGAAGCCAGAAAGGCATGTCATGCCAGTGTTCGTCAGTGCTGGGCATTGGTCACAAGCTGAAATGGCTGGAATTAGTATCTCTAATATGAAGGTTTTCCAAGGTGGCTTGCTGAATCAGTTCAGGTAATGCTAATCGATATTCTCATTCGACTGTATAAAAAGTTTTGGAACCCGATATGTATAAACGAACGTTTTTCACACTGCGCCAATGTGTACGGAGCATCTTCGGTATCAATCCACTCGGCCTCAGTGCTACAGGTCAAAATCGTCAGCGGAGTACGCTCTGTATTTCCTGTAAGACTGCCAGTGCTGCAGAATGTTTCCGAGCATTGTCCTGCAATAGATAGGAATTGTTGAACTGTTTCTTGCCAACCAAATATTAAATTCACAGACTATTCCATTCTCCTACAAATCAAAGTTGAAATAACCCAATAGTGCCCATCAACACCCACTAGGATCCTGATCAAAATACAGCATGTGTTGTTTGCTAGGATGATCCCTCATTTTGAAGCAAATTGTCAGGTGATCACTCTCCTCTGACCTATTCCCCTACCCAATAACTTATCTTTCGCACATTCCCAGTACGGACCTGTGGACAACCAGACAGGCAGTGTAGCGGCTTTCAAGCGCTTCACCAGATCCAGCACAATCTACCAAGTTCCGCTCCCTTCCCTATCACTTGACCTCTGAGAATTGTTGTGTAATGAAATAAAAACATCATAAAAAGCATTGACTAGCGTGGCAATTTATTGCAGAAGCCTAGCACAAATCTACTTTTCAAAGTTGTGGGACTCC